GTATGCTGTAATAGTTGATGAAACTTTGGTATGGTGAGACATCACATTTGCACGGCATCTTAGGTTGTGTCATCTGAAGTTGGGACCAGCATGGAGCAGTGGGCTGAACTTGGCTACATGTGCTTAGGTTCTTTTTGTTGTTGTGTTTTCGAGACAGGTTTCTCTGTGTAGCCTTGGCTTCCTGGACTGGCTTTGTAGACTGGCAGAGATCTGCCTGCCTCTGCCTCCCAAGTGCTGGGATCAAAGGCTGTACCACCACGCCCGCTTAGGCCTGTCTTTCTGGCCCATCTTCTCCTCAGGCTCTCCTGCACATATAAAAGGTGCTTGGCCTCTTCACTATTTGTGTTTGCTGTCTAGGGGGCTGTATTCCCTTGACAGCTTCCTGGAGCTGGTCCACAATTCAAGTCCAGTTGATGTTTGCTGGTGACTACAATTATGGGAAAGTTGTTAACTTTGGAAATGCATGTGGCAGGGCTGGAGAAACTGGTCTTGGAGAGGACCCAACTTCATTTCCCAGCTCCCACATTGGGACACTCCCAGCTGCCTGTGGCTTCAGCTCTAGGTGATGTGACACTGCTTTTGGCCTCCACAGCACCGCACACACAGCGGACACTCTTTGGGCTATTTACTTACTTGAGACAGTCTCAACTCTGTAGCCGTGGTTGGCCTGGGGCTCGCTGTGCACCCCAGGCTCGCCTGGGGAGAGATCATCCTGCCTCTGCTGCCTCCTGAGTCCTGGGATTAAAGATGTGCACTACCACACTTGGCAAAATTAAATTTCTTTTTAAAAAGAGCATGCAGCCAGTGTGGCAGCAAAAGCCTCTAATTCCAATGCTTGAGAGACTGAGGCAGGTAGATCTCTGTGAATTCTGGGCCAGCCTGGGCTACATAGACACCATCTCAAAAATAAATAAATAAAATGCAGCTACATGAGCTCCTGGTACATCCTTGGCCCCCTGCAGCCAGGCCCGTGTCTGGCTTGAGTAGTGGCCCTTCCCCCATCTGGGCAGCTCATCTCCTCCCTTGATGCTTCTGCAGCTTCCCAGGTCATGCCCTTTACATGCCAGGCAGGTTGGCATGCACTTGGTGAGGTCACATTCAAGCTTGCTTCAAAGTTCTGCCTCTTTGGGCTGAGTGGGTCCTCGTTCTAATAAACCCTCATGTAACCGGGGGATTGCCTCGTCCCTGGCGGAGGATAGCCTCTATTCACAGTGCCTTTGAGGTGGCTTTGGTTTATGCACTTAAGGACACTCACTTTCTTCGAAGAGCTCTCAGGTCTGTAATCCCACTTGGGAGGCTGAGGCAGGAAGCCTTGGGATTCAGTGATGGCCTTTGCTCTAAACAACAACAAACACACACACTCATTCATGAACATTGAGCTTACATCCTGTGTGTGCCTGGGTTATGCTGAATGTTTCAAGTACCTCAGGGGAATAAGGACCAGAACAAATAACATTTGTGAAGCACATGGAAGCTAAAACATGCTATTTTGGTCTCAAAGGAAACGAGGAAAATAGATATTAATGACGTGGGTGGGGATTTCAGCCATGTACACAGGTAGGTCGACTGTCCCTCACCCAGATGCAGAACTTGGAGCCCTTATTTGCTGCCACAAGTGGAGAGTTCTGTACTGCGAAGCCTTGTTTCAGAGTCATTGAGAACTACGCAAAACGACCTCAGGGCTACATGTGTGCTGTGTGAAACATGAATTTTTGTTGTTTAAATGTGGGTTCTATCCCCAGGAGAGTTCATACTTACTCAAATAAAGACTTTAAAATCCCCAGTGTATGGCTGGAATAATGGCTCAGCCGGTAAGAGCACTTGTTGAGGACCCAGGTTCAATTCTCAGCACCCACATGGTGGCTCACAACTATAGCTTCAGTTCCCGGTCAGTCCGTGCCCTCATGTGACTTCTGAGGGTACGGGGCACATGTGGTATACATTAGCAAACTTAGGCAAAGCACTCATACACATAAATCTTTTTAAATAAGTAAAAATCCCTCAATCCACAATACTGCCAGCCCAAGCATTTCAGATAAGGCATATTCCACATCTGCCGGTGGGATGGTCCCTCGGGTAAAGGCAGTTTCCCTAAGCCCGCTGAAGCTGGTGAGATGGCCCCGTGGGCGAGGGCAGTTTCTGCCAAGCCTGGTGACTTGTGCCAGAGTCCTGGGATCCACTTGGTGGAGACAGTGGGTCCCGTAAACTTCCTTGGCAGCCACTTGTACAGGTGGCATGTTCACCACATACACCAGCAAATGTAAGTTATTCTGCAAGGTGGGCCATGTCCTTCCCATGGCTCTTCCCATCCTAAAGAACGGAGCACAGAAGTCAGGGCACTGAAGGTTGTGCCCAGCACCAGGCAGCCACCAAGGTGCCTGAGCTCTGAGCCAGCGTGGCATTGCCTCCAACGCGGTCAGGTTAGGGTCAAGGGAAAAGCACAGTGAAATAGAAGACCTGATTCTGAAAACACCATGCAAGTACAGCCAGTTATCCTGCAGCCTCCCCAAGACAAGCCTGGGGAAACCATTATTTGGCTTTAGAGAAACGAGTTTGGTGAAATCTGCAAACCACTGGAAAAGGTGTGAGGCTTTAGGGCGAGATGCAGACTGTCAGTGGGCTATTTAAGAAGGTAAATTCAGTCTTTCTCCCTTGCCTGTGTCAGTTCTTTCTTAGCAAGCAAAGCTGCCCACCCCTCATGGCAGCCTCGTCTAAAGGTCTACCCTAAGCTCACACCCGACAGCCATCCTGAACAAGTTCACATGGTCCCTGTGTCTACCTGGCTCTTGCTCATGCATCTGACATAAAAGCAGAGTCGCTGCTGGCCTCTGCCCAGACTTTCTGTTTCCCTGGTGCCGTGGTGCCTCCTTCCTTATGTCTTGGCCACTGCTTGTCCTTGCCTTTGTGTCATGGCAGAATGTGCCCTCTTTCCCCTCTTCCAAATTGGGCTCTTCATCTTTGGCCACTGCCCAGGCTACAGGATCACCTCAAACAAGCCAGGCCCTAACCTAGAACCGTGTCTTCCTCCTCCTGGGAACACGTGATAACAGCCTCTGCCCAATCTTTCCCTGACGCACACAGTTGCTTGCTTATTCACTCAGCCACTTCCGAAAAGCTCTCGTGAGCAGTGGCAGTGAGCACAAACTTCACAATAGTTCTTAGACTATTCCAAATGCCTTATGCTTTTTTTATACTTCTAATTAACAAGAATTAGTATCGTGTGCTTTGTACCCATGTGGAGCTTAGACTGCCATCTGTGAGAATTATTACCGAAGCTAAAGAGGTTTGTTGTTGTTTTTGTTTTGTTGATATTAGTCTCATCAGGCAGCCCGGGCTGCCTTTGAACTTGTGGCAGTCCGTCTGAATGCTGGGATTACAGGGATTCACCACTTCGCCAGGCATTAGTCGAACTGAAGTAATCTTAAAGGTTTCATGGGGCCAGGGGTGCGAAGATGGCAGAAAAATTGATCCCTTAAGTCACGGGCACTTGGACAGCAGGCTAGCTCTGAGGAAGATAGGTGACTGGGAGTTTTTCTGTGTGCTCTGCTGGAGTAAATTCAAGTGGGCAGAAAATGGGCAAAAGAAGCGGGGTATGGTGGCAAGCACCCGTAGCTCCAGCACTCTGCGGGCAAAGCAGGAGGACTGAAAGTTCCGGGGCAACTTGAGCTGGGACGGAGCCCCCGTCTTAGTAGGGTCATCTGCTGCTGTCCGTCACAGTGTCCCTCCCACGTACCTGAGACATTGCTCCCCAGGCTGCTCTTTGCCTCAGGAGGCTCCAGGGGCAAACTGGATGCCCTTTATCTACCACAGCATTATGGCACACTCAGTCACGGCTGGGGTGAGGTGCTCAGTAAACGAGCTGCTTCGGAGACTCCGGCAATTGCACAGTTCCCACGCTCTGCAGCTACTTCTGATGTGATCCCCAAAGGGTCACGACCCACAGGTTAGGGGCAGCTCCCATAGGCATCTCTAGTCTGTCCGTTCCTTTAGCCCTTGAGAAGCCATCACTTCCTATCCTGTCTCCACAGAGTTACCCATCTGGCCATTTGGGAGCTGGATACCCTGTGACTTTTGTGTCTTGTTTCTGTCCTTGAGTCTCCTGTGTGAGGCAGTTTTCCGAGCTGTTCTCTGTTTTTGTGGAGGGATAATCCATGGTGTGTATCTAGCCCAGTTTACACACTTACCTGCTGTGAATACGTGGGCTGTTACCACCTTCTAGGTGTTGAATACCGCTTCCATGGACTGACTGTGTATGGCATTTGTTTGAGTTCCTGTATTCAGTTCTTCATATATTCACAGATGGAGTTGCTGGATCCTGTGGTGGGTCTGTCTTGAGGAATTGCCAACACGTTTTCTGCAGTGGCTGAACCATTGTACAATTTTTCCTTCAGTGCCCAAAGTTTCCAGCTCTCCTAGCCATCCTGTGGGTTGGGAGGAGGACCTTATTGTGGTTCAAACTGCATCCCTCTGACTAATGATAATGGCCTTTCTTGGGTCCAGTGCCTTTTATATACCTTTAGAAGGTTGTCTGTTCAAGGCCCCTTGCTCATTTGTGATCTGACTTTCTTTTCCCTGTTGAGTTGTCGGACATGTTCACATCTTCTGGACCCTGGACCCGTAGTGCGGGCCCCCTGGCTTGGCTTTGTTCTCGTGTGTGTGGTGGGGACATATGTGCATATACAGGAGCAGGTTTGTGTTAAGCCTAAGGCAGGTGCTGCCACTGGGGAGGTGTTCGGCTACTCACAGCCACCGGCACCTGGGGGGTAGACGGGTGTCGCCTCTGCCGGCTGCTTCAGACAGGTCAGGACTTCCCTCCTGACCCTCACCTCATGTCTCGAAGCTCTTCGTCATGTGTGACAGGTGGCAGGGTGAGTGTCACCTGCAGAACAGCATGCAGCTAGAGGCAAGGGCCTCTAGTTTGGGCCTGTGGGCATCGTAAGACTTCAGCTGGTGTCACAGCCCTTGAGCTGAGTGAGTGACGCAGAATGTTTGCTTTTCAGAGTCACCGTTCTTGAGCTTCCACGAGTCTGACTGTGAACTGAGGGGCTCGCCACCCTGTGACTCCCTGCTTTCTCTCAACACCGAAAAGATCCTGGTATGTGGTCCTCCACGTGTGCGCATGAATGCTGGCCAGGTGCCCACCTATGGACTTCGTACTGCAGGTCCCTGTGTGACCTAGGTCCGGCCAAGAGCCAGGATGTGACACATTCCCGTGAGGCTGGGATTGCCTCCTAAGTGGGCCTCTGACCTGTGTGTGTTAGGATCGGAGCCAGCTTGCTCCTGACTTCATGACCAAGCACAGCTCTGGTTTATGACAAGAAGGTCTCGTAGCCATACTGAACACAGTGGTCAGGTCGTTGTGGTTGGCAGTATGGCTCATTGGTCACACTGTTTAGCTGTTTAGTGATGTGTGCCGGTGGGCACTGCGCTGTGAATAGAAAAGACAGGCTTAAATCTGGAGTTGTCTCTAGGTCTTATCCTCTAGGTGTGCCTGGGGAGCGGAGCTGTAGTCCTTTCTCACTAGATTTTCCTGCATAGTTCCTAGGAATTTGAATGGTATCTGTGGCACCTCCAGCCTGGAATTGTTTTAATATGTTTTTTTTTTTTTTTTATTTACGTATTTTGTGCGTGTAAACGCATTCGTATGCACATGTGCCAAGGTGCATGTGTGGAAGTCAGAGGACAGCTTGCAGGACTTGGTTCTCTTTTTGTGTGCTACGTGGCTCAACCGCAGCACCTTCACCCCTCAACTACTACAGCCCCATGGGTGTGTTAAGGCAAGTGCTGTGGGCCTCCTGTATCGCCATTTGGTGCTGGCTGACAGAACATCTGGAAAAGTGGCAGCTGTCTGTATGCCAAAGTGTGGTTTACCTCCACAACCCATTAGAAGCAGCTGTTTGTGTAGGTGTGGCAGCATGTGACTGTAATCCCAGCACTTGGATGGCAAAGGTAGGAGGATTGCCTGAGTTCAAGGCCAGCCTGGGCTACATAGAGTTCTGGGCAATCACGGGCAGCATAACAGGATAGTGCCTTTAAAGAGGGCCTTGCTTCTGTGATAGCTTACTTCCTGTCTCCTGTAGTTTGGGCCCTCTTCTGGCAGTCTGGTCATACGTGATCTCTGCATAGGGCCAGCCTGGCACCGTGCACTAGATGGCTGTGCGCATTAGTTGCTGGGGGAGCACTTAGTCACGTCTCGTTTCTTGGCCAGATTCTCTTAGGCCTTTATGTCCAGCATGTGGCTGTGGGTTCTGGAGGAGTTGTATGCTTTACCTGGAATTCTGTTTTCAAGTCACCCTGGAAGGACTGAGAACTCACGTGGTCTTCTCAACATACTCAAAGGCCTGTGCAAACTCGGGGCCTCAGAGTAGCCAGCAGGACTAATCCCCATAAAACAGAGAAGTTGTTCCCTCTTGGAAGCAGAAGTGCTGGGGACAGGGGACCAAACATTTGCCCACTACCTGTGTTCTCAGCACTCAGGCAGCAGACAGTGGCACATGTGTGTCTGCTTCAGCAGAGCGAAAGCACAGCTCCAGCATCTTAAAACATGTGCTCTCATGCAGCGGAAAGCACAGCTTCCATCATTCGCCAGAAGCTAAACGATGGCTGTTTGTTTTCAGAGCCAGGCCAAGTCTATTGCAGAACAGAAGAGATTCCCGTTTGCTACTGACAACGACAGCACCAATGAAGAGTTAGGTGAGAATCCAGTCTGGGAGCAACCTGTAACATCCGCCCAGAGCCAGGGCTGGCTGTAGACCAGGAGGTCAGGTGGGACAGAGACTAGGAGCCTGGCACTGCCCCCGAGCCGGGAGGCTCACCCTGGCCTTCCTGAGAGTCCGTGCAGTGTGCATCATGACAAGAGGCTTGGGTGGGCCATGGGGGGGTGCTTCAGCTGACAGAGTGCTGGCCTAGTGTGCAGGAGGCCCAGGGCTCAGCCCCCAGCACAACATAAACTAGGCATGGTATGAGCCCAGCATTGGGAGGTGGAAGGAGGAAGATGAGAAGTTCGCAGTCATCGTTGGCTAAATAGTGAGGTGGAGGCCAACCTGTCGTATCCGGGACCCTGGCCCACACAAAGGGAAGGAAGAAAGGCAGGAGGAAGGAAGAAGGGACGATAGCACAGTGGTGGGTGCGGTCCTGGGGTCTGCGGAAATTAACAGTGACACTAGTAAGGTCAGCTGCTCTGAACTGCTGGACCATTCATGTGCCATCACCACTGTGAACAGCATGGAGGTGAAAGGAAAGAGACTCGAAGAGCATCTTAGGTGGGAACAATCGCATTCACCCAGGTCTACAGAGGAGCCTCATGGTTTGGCCGTTCCTGGTTCCCAGCATCTAATGTGTACCGGGTGCTTCCCCTTGCCCCCTTGCCTAGTGAGTGGACGCACAGCAAGAATGAAGAGTGAACCCACAGCAGCACAGGGCTGGGCAGGGCGGATGGACTCAGGTTCCTCCATGGGATCATGCCCTCCTGTGGTCATCCATTCTCCATGGTCGCTCAGCCTGTGACGAGTGCTTTCCTTGGCTTTGTCACTGCAGAGCACTGCTGACTCTGGAAAGTGCCCCCTTGAGCTGTTCTTTGGGGTGACTTTGAGAACTAACTGTCCTTTAAGGCTGATCTCTGAATGGCGGGCTTCTGTTCAGTTGAATGTCTGCTTAGTCACTGGTACTCAGGCCCTGCTGTGGGGGCTGGAGAGACAGTTCAGAGCTCTGGCTGCTTTCCCAGAAGCCCCAGGTTCCATTCCCAGAGCCACATGGCACCCCATAACCGTCTGCAACTCCGCTTCCAGGGGATATGACACCCTCGTCTGGCCTCTGTGGGCACCAGGCATGTGTGTGGTGTACAGACTCTCGTGCAATACGAGTGAAGATGAATAAATAAATGAAGCAGGCCCTGGTGTGAGGCTGCCTTACTCATTCTTAGAACAATCCAGGAAGCTTGAGCTGGGGTAGACTCTTCTGCCTGACAGATTTTTCTTGGAAAAAAAGCCTGCCAGGCCAAGACAGCATCCAGAGATGAGCTGTTTGCTCTAGAGGGCTCCGCTGGAATTGTAGCATTTCCAGCTCTTCCTTTATGTCCTGGTCTCAGACTCCAGTGGCTGTTTATGTTTGCGTGAGATGTAGGCTAGTAGTCTTTGAAGTTGTGGGTATGTATGGCAAGATCAGGACCCCGTTTGTTCTCTTTTGAGGAAAATTTGGTAGCCAGGGTAACCAAGGGTTTCCCTGAAGTTCTGTCCATTTTAATTTTAAAAGAATTACGAAAACTGTTTCTGTAATGTGAATGAGTGATGTGCCTGCATGTGTGTGTGTGCTGTCTACATGCCCTTGGAGATCAGAAGAGGGTGCTGGATCTCGAGCTGGAGTTACAGACAGTTGTGAACCACCCTGTGGCTGCTGGGAACTGGGGCCAGGCCTCTGCAGGAGCAGCCAGTGCTCTTGGCCTCTGAGCCAACCTTCCAGCCCTGTGCTTTATTTTATAGCTCATTTGTTTCATCCAGCAGATACTACTAGTTATGGGAAGATAGGAAATCCTAAAAATGTGTCTGACAGGGATCTTTAAGAAAATTTGCCAGTGGCTTATTAAGCAAGAACCAGGGAGTTGGGAGAGGTTTCTGGGGTCCCCATCCTCATACAGCTGGGCAGGACTGAGCCTGCTCTTGGCCATCCAACAATCTTCAAAATCTTACATTCAGAAGGTTGGTCTGTGTCTTGGGGTGGCAGCCCGGGAAGGGTGGTACTGGGTACCTGTCTGTAAGTGGAGGAGATAATTGTACCATCCTCCTAGCAACCAGTCAGAGAGTAAGGCCATCCCTAAAGGCCGAGGCCTCTGCGCGTGCCTGAGAGGATGTGAGGTACGCCCCCGTGCTGGCATTCCTGGCCCAGGCTGTGCTGGAGGGCAGAGCTGGGAGGCTCCTTGCCTGCTTGCCTCCACGGTCTTTAGCTGCACCCCTTCTCAGAGCTGCTCTTCTGAGACAAGGCAGAGTGAGCTGACTGTAGCCGCCTGCTCTTCTTCTCGCTGACGCGTTTCTGTTTGTCCCACAGCTATTGCTTACGTGTTGGTCGGCAGTGGCCTGTATGACGAAGCAATAAGGCACTTCTCGACCATGCTTCAGGTAAAGCTCCCCTCGGCCACGCGATTGTGAGTGTTCCGCGCGAACCCACACGCCTGCAGTGAGGCGTCGTGTAGGGTTGCAGGAGTGCAGCAGGGAACCCTGACTGTTGCTTCTCGGTGCCAGGCCTCCCAGCGTCCCTTCATCCTGCGGGAGACCAAGGAAGTCGGTGTTGCATGGCAGCTGCCACGCTGCCTGGACCAGCATGACACAGGGGTGGCTTCTTGCTGCAAGGCTGAGCAGAAGTAGCTGTAGGCCACATCTTCTGCCATGGAACCTCTGGGAGACATGGGCTCTCCCTGACACGCGGACCCTCCCTGACACACCTGATACACGGACCCTCCCTGACACACCGGCCCTCCCTGACACGCGGACCCTCCCTGACACACCTGACACACGGACCCTCCCTGACACACAGTCCCTCCCTGACACACGGGCCCTCCCTGACACACGGACCCTCCCTGACACACAGGCCCTCCCTGACACACAGGCCCTCCCTGACACACCTGACACACGGACCCTCCCTGACACTCGGACCCTCCCTGACACGCGGGCCCTCCCTGACACACGGTCCCTCCCTGACACACGGTCCCTCCCTGACACGCGGACCCTCCCTGACACTTGGACCCTCCCTGACACACCGACCTTCCCTGACACACGGGCCCTCCCTGACACACGGACCCTCCCTGACACAGGCCCTCTGTGGGAGGTGGACGTTAAAGTGTGAGATTCCAACTCCAAGGGCAGCATTGGGGGTAACGTGGGTCCCCAATTATGGATCTGCCTCTCGCTGTAGCAGGGAGTCGTGAGACCGCCAGAGCAGGCTACCGAACAGTTCAGTGAAGAGAACGTAGCCTGTGGCAAGGTGGTGCACACCTGTAGTCCCAGCACTTGGGAGGCTAAGAGAATTGTGGGTTTCAGGGCAGCCCTGGTTACAGATGCACAGCCTGTACACACACACACACAGAGAGAAAGGACAGGAGACTCGTGTGTAAGTGCACCGTGCTGTGCAGGAGTCCGCCTCACGCTGCTGTCCTCTCAGCATCGCCTCCTTCGGCTGTTTGGAGGAGTGTGTTGGTTGGTGGCTCTGGTGGCCTGTCCTCTACAGGAGAGGGCCTGCGGTGCGCACCTGCTCCAGCAGTTACTCAGCCTCCTGTGAAGCACAGGGGCCACCTCTGGAAGGGCCCCTTTTGGTTCCCCTGTAAAGAACTAGTGTCTCTACCTGGCACCTGGTGTTCAGCAGGCATTTTGAGTTTTCACTACTCATGTCTTTGTTGCAGATTTGTCATTATTGCTGAGAGGGGCCAATAGATAACTTCATTTGAAAATATTAAGTTTGAAACTTTAGCTCTGCTTGTGTTTAAAAAGAAAACACCCACAGCTGGGTCGGGTTGAGAGTGTGCATTCTGAGAAAATTGGTGAGACATTTTGGGCATTACTTTGAGGTCTGTGAGTCAACAGCTGTGTGTGTGAGCAGGCACACAGGGTTTCTCTTTTCAGTAGAATTTGAAATGCAAAGAGAAGTTTAAATAAGCTTTTACGTTGCAGTTTTGTTAATGTCACAATATTACAAGTGTTAAGCAAGATTCCACAGTGAACACAGGCCTGTGGAGAAGAGACCTGAGGCATTTTATCCCATTCACATACTATCCAGGCCCAAGCCAGCGTCTGAGACCTGCTAAGATGAGACTCCATCTGGACTGTGTGGTCACAGACTGAAGGCATTGGTTTTTTAATTTGGTTTTTCAAGACAGGGTTTCTGTGTTTGACAGCCCTGGCTGCCCTGGAACTCACTCTGGAGACCAGGCTGTCCTGGAACTCTCGGTGTAGACCAGGCTGTCCTGGAACTCAGAGACCCACCTGCCTCTGCCTCCTCAGTGCCGGGACTTCAGGCGTTTATATTAACAAAAATCAGGTTTTTTTTGTTTTGTTTTGTTTTTTTGTTTGTTTGTTTTTGGTGCCCACAGCCTGCAGGTGTATAATTATTTTGTTCAGCTTAAAAAATATTATAATTGTGGTTGGTGATAGTGCTGAAACATTTTTGATTTAAAATGTCCTCTCAGGTCATTTATGATCTGAATGTGTGTGTATAGTTTGTTAGTGTTAAATTAGTGCCGTATCCAGTCTGTAGGGCTGTAGGACACTCTGGTGTTCCATCCGCTGGGACTTCTTTCTGCAAGGACACTGTTCCCTTTAGGCTGGGACACAGCCAGTGTGGATTGCAGTCAGCTCAAGTGTGGCTGTGGGGACCAGGAGGTCCTTGTATGCACTGTCTCAGGGCAGGAGGGCCCAGTGGCTGGGCGCAGCCTCCTGCTGGCTTCCCTATGCTTTTCACCACGCAGTGAGAGTGTGGGTGTCCTTATGGTGGGGACAGAGCGCAGTGTCCAGGTTAGGTTTGTGACTTTTCTCCCTTTTCTTCATAGCATATGGTTGGTTATACTAAGTAGAAAATTCAGAGATTCAGTGACAAAACTTTCCCCAGAGTTTTTAAGGAAAACCCGAGCCCTCTCTTCTGTCAAAGCTTCCCTGTATTGGGCTGTGTTTAAGAGTTCCATGTGAGTTCCCTCTGATGCTCTGTCAGCCTTATGCTGGGACTCTGGACCAGCAGGCAGCAGCAGGGTAAAGGATGCTGCCCACTCCACTTAACAAAACTTTCTTACATGGGTGGGGTTTTGCATAAGCCAGTCTCTTCAGGTTGAATGTTGATAGCATGTTTGCCCTTCACGTCAGCTGCTCTTGCTGTCTTTATACAAATATAGTGGTCAGATTTCTTGGTGTAATGGAACTGATTTTTTTCCCGTGATCCCTTTTCCTATCCAGAATTTCAGAATCTTGTACTTCTCAAGCATACCTGAAACTGTATGGATGGACTTTGTATGTCCCTCCCAGCTCTGAATAATGACATGGAGACTTATTTGTTTATAATAGCTTCTGGCTTTAGCTTAGGCTTGCTCCCCAACCAGCCCTTAAATTACCCCCTTTGTAGTAATCTATGTGCCCATTACCTGTCCATTTTAGTCTCAGCGCTGGCTTCTTCCTAGTGTCTGCTTGGCAACCACTTTCCTGCCTTTCTTTCCCAGAGCCCCTGTTTTTGCCTGAAGTCCTGCCTTCCTCTCTTGCCTTTGCTATAGGTTGTTCAGCTCTCTCTTCAACCAGTCAGAAGGGGTTGGAGAACAGTGTTTATAAAACACGGAGACAGGTGATGCTCAACAATCCCAAAGTCCGGTCTGTACTGAGCTCTCTGCTGGCACAGAAATCAGCATTTGAGTGTAAAGGATAACCTTTACAGTGCTCAAAACATCTCTCCGACAGACACCTGCTGGTGCCGGGGTTCTTTGCCCTCTCTGAACTGTAACTGGGGACCTGTTTATGCCGTGTTGGCGCTGACCAGTTCTACTCTTTCACTGGGACCCTCCAGATGTGCAGCGGTTGTTTCAAAGCCAGTAACCATCCTATGTAAATCATATGCTGGTAGCAATCCTCACAGAGATTTGGGCTTTTCTTGAGTCCACCAACACTCAGCACCTATTAGGCCCATTGGACCACACACGAAGCAGCAGCATCTCACTCCACCTACAGGAAATGACAAGGGTGCCCACAGGGGTTTAGATGCCACAAAGTTGCTGTGTGGATGAGGTCACGGCTCTGTGAAGGTTGAGTTCCAGTCTGATTGTTGTCTCAGAGTTTCCATTGCTGTGAAGAGACACCATGAGCACAGCAGCTGTTACAAGGAAACCATTCACCTGGGGCTGACCTACAGTCTCAGAGGTTCAGTCCATTATCATCGCGGAGAGAAGCATGGCGGCTCGAGGCAGACACCTGCTGGAGAGGAGCTGAGAGTTAGCTCTCCATCTCGATCCGCAGGCAGCATAAGTAAATGCCACACTATGCCTGGCTTGAGCGTCTGAGACCTCAAAGCCACCCCAGAGCGACACACTTCCTCCAACAAGGCCACTCCTTTTAACAGTCAAGCATTCAAACACAGGAGTCTATGGGGCCAATGTTTAAACCACCACAGATGTAAAGCTCCAGGTCTTCCCAGCATCTGCTCTGGGCCTTCAGTCTATGAACCTGAGGTGTTCCCATGCTTCTCTGAGTTTCTGAATGTTTGTTAGGGAAAATCTTCCTCTTTGTGTCTTGGGACTCTGAGCACAGTTACCTGTTTTTCCTGTTCTTTCTTCTTCTTCCTCCTCTTCCTCTTCTTCCTTCTCCTCCTCTTCTTCTTCCTTCTCCTCATCCTCCTCGTCCTCTTCCTCCTCCTTGTTCTCCTCGACGTTGTCCTCCTCCTCCTCTCCTTCTTCAAGAGGTCTCACTGTGTGGCCTAGAGTAACCTCTGACTCTCAGTCATGTGTCGACTTCCTGAATACTGGGATTACAGATGTGTTGCCACACCCAGCCACTCTCAGTTGGCACACTTTGTAAATGCCAGTCTGTGCCGCAAATTGCTGATTTATCCATCCGTTCATTCGTTTTGAGGCATGTCTCATTTGGTAACCTGCACTGGCCTTGAACCTGTGGCATTCCTCCTGCTTCTTCCTCCCTAGAACTGGAATTCTATGTGGACCAGCATCATGGACTGAAATGCCAATTTTAGTTTGACATTTTAGGCTGACTCCACATCAGTGTTCCAGCATCCCTTCCCTGCATGTCTGTGCACTGCAGTGGTGCTCTTGAATGCCGAGCTCCGCCCAGTCCCGGGAGGGTTGGGAGGGCAGGTACCAGAACAGTTTATGAGGCAGTTTGAACCTGTGTGTGGATCTGATCTGACTGTGGTGGACCTTAGTTTCTATCAGCTTTGCTTCTTGCTTTCCACAGAACTAAAGGTACCCTGTGGTGTCTGTGGCATTTTATAAGTGGGCACCACTGAGACAGGGTTTAACCCATGGCTCATGTGCTGATTCTCTTAGTGGACTCTGGGCATAGTGACTCCGAGTTTGGGGCTAGAAGCCAGCCCCATGGTAAAAAAAGAATTGCCTCTGCTTTTAAGAGGATTATTATTTTAT